ATTCTTAAAACTGATTTTTTTTAGTATCCGTAACTTCATATATTTTAATCAACCAATTTCTGAACTGTAACCGATCTTGTTTTGTTTTGTTTTGTTTATTGCTTGTTTTCTGATGTTGTGTTTTTGTTTGGTGTAACCACTGAACTTTAACCAACTTTATTATTTACACTTTGCTATACTGATGCCTCGGCTTTTTTCTGTATAGTAATTTAGGTGTTCTTTCTTCTTCAATAATAATAATAATAATAATAACAAAGGATTTAGGAATATAATCCAAGGGTTCGCATAAAACCCAGTCATTGCATTGTTCAAAGTTTAGTTTTCAGTTATAAGTGTAAGTTTCTTCAGGTCTCTACAGTTGTTGCATTCGCATAAAATGCGACAAGTGCATGTGTCTGATTCGTTGTAGCGAGTTTTGAAAACTTTGTGTACATTCCTAGAAGTCTGTTTTTGCATTCTGAGTCAAAATTTATGTCACATTTGAAGTATTTGTTGTACAGATTAGAAAAACGACATGCCCGAAACCAGAAATCCGACTCGCACTTCTTCAGACGCATTTGTTTGCAGACGAAATTTCGTGTCATTGAGCTCTTCGGTTTCCAACGTCAGTGATGCTTACATGGCTTCTCCAGTCGATGTCAACTTTTCCAGCTAGTATTTTTGCAAACAGCAGTCCAACATGAAGCTCTTGGTATAGAGACAAAGGAAGGATGTTAAATTTCGCGAGTTTGTCTTTATAGGAGATTTGGCTATTGCTTGTCATGAAAATCCACGAGATTTTTTCCGCTACACACTTTCTATGATTCCTAAGTCAACTTTTGATGGTTTCCAGATGGCTGAACCGTAGCACAGTATTGGCACAAAGTAACAGATATATGCGTTTTTTCTGGTCGCGAAATTTGCCTTTGAGAGATTCCTTTTGAGTACGAAGAGAGCGTTTAAGGCTTTTTCAGCCCTCTTTTTTGCGTGTTGCGTCCAAGAGAGCTTGTCGGTTATCAGGATGCCCAGATCTTTCATTAATTCAGTGGTTTCGAGGCTGTAACTGGGGAGTGCAATCGTAGCTGATCCTTTGATGCAGAGGACTTTACTTTTCGTCAGGTGCATTGACATGCAGTTTTCCTCGCACCACCTCCAAAGTCACGTAACATCTACGTTGAGAGTTAAAGGGTTGTCTCCAACAATTTTGTAGTCGTCTGCATAACCAAATGTTGCGGACATGACACATGACGGTAGATCATTTATGAAGACTAGGAAGAGAAGCGGCCCGGGTATAGAGCCCTGGGGAACGCCGCTGAAGACTTCCAGCTCTCCAGAAATTGTGTCATTCAGCCTCACTGTTTGCTTCCGGTTCGAGAGGTAGCTGTGTATCAAAGATAAACAATTTCCTCCAATTTAAGGAGTCGATAATTTCTCCATGAGGATTCCGTGCGCGACTTTGTCAAAAACCTTTTGAAAGTCCAAGTAGAAGGTGTTCAGGTAGTTGCAGTTTGGCGAATCTAGGCAGCCAAATATCTCGTGTAGATACTCTATTAAGTTTGTTATCGTCGATCGTTTAGGTCTAAAATCGTGTTGGTCTGGTGTTAAGGTTGGGTAGACATTTGGGGCCAGTTTATAAAATATTAGTTTCTCAAGCAGTTTTGACACTGCTGAGAGCAGGCTGATCGGCCTGTAATTTGATACGTCTTGTTTATCCCCGTCTTTAAAAATTGGTGCGATTTCGCTGATCTTCCATTTTGTTGGAAATATCGCTTTATTTGCAATCAAGTTGAACAATAAGTGGAGTGATTTTGGTAGTGACTTTGAGAGGTTTTTCAGAAGAGTATTACCAATCATGTCTGGTCTATTTGCCTTATTTACGTGCAGCTCGCTCAGGGCATCTTCTATTTCATCGATAGTGAAATTGATACTGTTCAGAAGAACGTTATCTTGTCGTTCTGCTTTCCCAACGTTGGCGTTTCGTGTGAAAACTGATCGAAAATGTATATTAAACAATTCAGCTTTTCGAGCGTCTGTATTGGTTATTTTTTGATCTAGGAAGATCTCTGAAGGGTTCATGCGAGACTTGGTGATCGATTTTAGATATCGTTGTATTTCGCTAAATTTCTCATTCTCAAAAAGCATTTTTTCGTGGAGATGCTGGTCGTTTTGAAGGGACAGTGTTAGTTCAGTTTGCAGATTTTCAATTTTGCCTTCGCTCGATGGGGTAGGTTTTCGCTGATTTTTAAGTTTGAGTGTATTTAATTTCTTGATAAGGTTGGAGGAATTGCTTCCCACCCAGGGAGCTAGTTCAGACCTGTGTTTTGTAGTGATAGGTAGCAGGTCCTGTAGTATTTCGTATAACTACTCGTACCAATGATCGAGCATCAGTTCAACGTTGCTCAAGCAAAATGATTGGAAGGGGTGCTGACGAATGAATTCATTCACTTCTTCACAGTTTGCTTTCTTGTACGCGAAAATGCCAAAATCTAGTTTTTGTTTGATGGCTGGTGTCTTTTTATGAACAGGTCGGTAGTCAAATGAGACTTTGGCATGGAGTGGCAAATGGTCGGAATTGAATAGACTACTCAGACGGTTGTCAAGTTTTACGCTGGTGACAAATTGCGGTTTGTTACTAAGGAGAATGTCTAGTGATTTTCCATCAGGGGTTTTTATTAGTTGTTGAAAGTTTGACTCACAGAGTTCGTCAAGGATTGACTGCTCATCTAGAGAAGTTGAAGTCATTGACGGCCAGTGTGTACAGTTAAAATTTATATCTCCAACTATATACGAACAAATTGCACTTTGTTCAAATTGCTTACGCCTCAGGAATTTTAGGAGTTCGTTTAGATCTGAGATTCCCCATGTGTAGGTACCGTTTGTAGGAGCGCTGTAGATTCAGCATATTAAAATCGGCTTGTTCAGTGATATGCGGATGATAACACAATCTTGAAACGCGGAATTGATTTGACTACTTGGAATGTTACGCTTTACTGCTATGAGTACGCCATCATGTTTTGTCAAGCCTTTGTCACTCGATCTGTCATTTTAGTGGATAACGTAGTTTGTCAGAAAAAGTGCAGCGTCGCCGATGCTTTCTGTCAACCAGGTTTCAGTTAGGCAGATGACTTGATAAGCGTTTTTTACTTGGACAGCATTAGAGAATGTTGTCCGCCGTTGATACTCAAGAATACTTCTGACATTGTAAACAAGGATATTCATCGTCACTGCTAGTCAATTGGGTGCTTCGGGATCTGGAAATTTCTCTTTTATCCACTTTCCACCTTTTCGAATGTACAGAGTTGCATCGTGGACTCTTATGTCCTTTCTGTCTACAGATTTGTCGCTGATAAGTTGCCTTCTTCTGACAAGGGCAAGGTTTTATTGATCAGCTTCTTCCTTCGTCAGTTGTCTGCTGAGGAAAATTGGTTGAGGGGAGTTTTTCAGTTTCCTCGCAGATAGCAAAATCATTCGTCGTTGGTATGCATTGGGCACTTTCAATAGGATTGTTCTTATCTTGTTCTCGTCATATCGACCCAGGCGTATGACATCGCCAATTGAGGCATTGACATCCATATGGGTCAATACTTTTCGAACTTTGGCGAGATCGTGTTCTTGGCGCAGTCTTGCTTCCTTCTCCGTTGATTCAGGGATTCCTCGTATGCGAATGCCATCGAGTTCCTCGGCGGGTTTCGGTGGCGGTTTTTGGCGACTGGCAGTTGAGCTAGGTTGGGTTGGATAATCTGAATCAGGTTGTTTTGTGCTTAGCAGCGTTTTGATTTCGATCACTGTTTTTTTTGAGGTCAGTCATTTCGTTTTCCAGGGTTTTCATTTGAGTATCTCGAAGTTCTTTTGAGGTTGTAGTTTCATGGGCAGCTTGGGTCAAATTATCTTGACGTTTTTCTTCAACGCATTTGTTGCATATCAATAGAGCATTTTTTTCTAAGGCTGGTACTCCATTGACAGCGGCTTCACTTAGACGAGTGCAGTCTTCATTCAGGTGCATTCGACAGCCACAGCAAAAGCAGTCGGAAGAGCTTTCATTTTTAAGGATTTTCTCGCAGCACGTACTACAACAGTCAGAGACTGACTTGACCCGATTTCGGGTGTTATGTTTAGACATCTTAAAATCGTAAAAGGGGCTCAGAGCCAGAGACTCGATGATCACGCCTGTTGAGATTTTAAGAATTAGGACTCAGATTTGCGTACCTGTTTAGAATTTTTGCCGTTTAGCTTCGCGCTTCTCGGCAGCCGTTTGACGCTTCGTGCCACGTGTTTTGAAGATTCTATTGAAGTCGGGAAAATAGTGCAGCACAGTAGCTAGAGTCCTTGACTCTATGTCAGCAGCCTGGTGCAGTTTTCGGGATTCGGCAATTAACGATTCGTCAATTCTTTCGGAAGCACTGATAATATGCTTGGTCACGTCGATGACGTAACAGTCTAATGAATTTAGAAGATCGTCGAATATGTAGGGAGCACCTTTGCGTTGACAGGTAACGACGCAAAAGAGGTTTGGGATAGTCTTAAGGGTCTCAATCAGTTCTTCGATTGTTTGGGGTATGTTGCCTTTTTTCGGGTGCGATGTTATTCTGTTGTTTAATAAATCGTGCCAGAGAACAATTTTGCAGTTCCTGAGAGGGGTTGATGTAAGATAATCGAGGCAGTAATTTGACGTGCTAGGGTCAAGATTCAGTCCAGGGAAAGAGTGAACAGGATCAGCAAGCTTATCTTGTTCCAATTGTTCAAGTTTATTGATGGAATGGTTAAGAGAACTTGAACCTACTATTTTGATCATAAGGTATAGAGACTAAGAAAAATAAATAAACAAAATTGGAATGAACTCAGCTGATTGGGAATTGGGATGGTGAACACAGCAAATCGGGAGCCGTCCAGAGTGTAGTTCCACCCAGTGTCCAGTGATAAGTAATCCAGAAAATATCGTCGTGATCAAACTTTTCAACAATTCAACATTGACTATTGGGGCCACCACGGCTGCCCCTTGTATTCATATTTTAACTAAAACTATTTAATAAGTTTATCTATCGAAGGTTAAATCACAATAATCACAATAAGTTAGAAGATCTCATAGTACTAGGAGCACAGGTTATTACTTCAATTTATAAAATGAGAGGAAACAAAATTCTATTTAAAAGTTGTGAGTGTCTTCTTTTCCTTCCTTTCTTTGAGCTAGGCATTTGTATGCATAAGTTCGTGAACCGAAATTAAATGCGAGAAGTTGGACTGAAAGGTCATCTGCCATTTGCACACATTGGTATGCTTGCGAACAATCAAGTTTGGTAAACAAGCTCTTTCCTGCGAAGTGGTTTGATGCATCGTTCATGTTTGAGATCGGAAAGTTGCTGTTGATATAGTCATTCTTTAGTGAATGATTTATCCTTCTGCGGTCAATCAACATCCGCAAATTACCAGATGACTTTCGATGTGCAAACAATGGACTGCTATATTTTGAATGTGACTGGTGGGCCTTGTGTGTACAAAGGTCGTGTGTGGGTTCCGGTTTCAGTTTGATTTTGAGATCGGAATTGTAACCAACATCAAATCTATGTTTGGCGAAGATGTCCGAAAATTTAACAAGCAAATCTTCTACTTTTGACCTTTGCTCCTGTGTCAACACCAAATTCTCCCACTTAAAATTCTTGATAAAAGTCAATCGATCTTGAAAGTTTATTTTCGGTTAAATTTTTTCGAGACTTTGAAAATGAAGAATTTGGTCGTAAATGTCACGTTGGATTTGTGGAAGTAATTCAGGGTTATGACATGTTTCAGGTGTAGGAAACCAAAAGTTTTCATACTCGAGTTTACGTTGCTGTTGAGACTGCTGATTATCCCAATTTTGCTGAATTAGCTCGTTAATGCCCATTTTAATATCGTCTAGATTATTCATTTTTGCAAAAGCAAGCATTTCTGCATCAATTGGTATGAGATTTTTGGCTTCTCTTAGGGTCAGAATTGAAAATTTTTCCAATTTCAGTTTTGAAAGGCAATGTCACGTGGTGATCAGTGATGTTAAATGCAGTGATATACACCAGGTTATTTTTCAGAACTTCACTAAATGAGGAAGTGAATGCAATTTCACAATTTTCTTCAAATTTTTTCGATGGGATTACGATTCCGGTTGTTTTTGCCATGTCCTGGCATGCGTCCTTTAAATGACATTCTACAAGAATTGTTTGATGCGGAGCTATTGTTTGACGTTTTGTTAGAGTCAGAGGGAATTTTTTCACTCGATTAATTCTTCTAGGTTCCTTTGGAGGTTTTATCTCGTTAATTTGCAGAGTCAGTTCTGGGAAATGAAGTAAATTATACTTGGCACAGATATAAATGTGGTGTTTTTTGTAGAACGGATTTCCTAGAAATATTGAGTTGGCCGCGTGTAGAGCGAGAAAAGATTCTTCAAATGTCATATCTGCCAATCTAAATTCTATTTTTACTTCTGTTTCAATTGGCACGAGTTGTCCTCCTGCCATTCGTACTCTCTTAAGTTTTGATTCACTTATTTTAAGAGGGCGGTATAGCGATTTTTCATCTTTTAAGTCGTCGAATGTCTGTTTTTAAATGACACTTGCACAGGCTCCTGTATCAACCAGGGCTCGTCTTTTTAATCCCGATGAGAATCGTAATTTTGTGTACGTCAAAACTATTCCTTCCGCTGGAATTATTGCGTAAAGGTAGATTATCTCATCTGGTTGAATTGACTGTTTTGATGATTTAGATGATTGAGATGATTTGGGGGCCGACTCGGTGGCGTTATTAGTTTTTTGGCTTTTTTGGAAACATGAGCGTTGCATCTTGTCCTTGTGGTTTTTGTCTCCACCAGCATTGTCTTGCTGTGTGATAAAATTTTCCACAGATGTCGCAGCGTTTTGCTGGTGGTCGAACCCTTGGTGCAAAAGGTCCACCGGGAAATTGAATTTCAGCTTGCGCTGTCTGATTTCCAGTGAAGTGTTGTTGTTGTTGTTGCAGGTAGTTCGCGTTTGGCTGTACCTGTGCTGGTTGGATTTGCACTATCGGTTGATTTTGCTGCATATTTTGGTACTGTTGGTATAGGTACGATGGAGGATGTTGCTGAGGTGCAATTGGTCCCATTTTTTGGAAATTAGGCTGATTATTGCTAAATCCAAATTGATTTTGCCAATTATTTCTGTTTTTTCCTTTCCTGCCACTTTGTTGCTGTCCAGGCAAATTATTTTGATTTTGATTACCACTAAACTGACCATTTTGGTTGTTGTTCTTGTTTGGTTGAAAAGGCGGATTCGATTGTTTCTTTGACTGCTCAGCTATTTGTGATCTCATTTCTTTGATCTGCTTCTCAATTTGTTCCTGATTTGTGGACAATTTTGTGAGAGCACTGATTAAATTTTCTGAGGCTCTGTCATTTACTTCATTAAATCCGTCTTCCGGGTAATCTTCTTTTCGGCATACTTCTAGAATCATGATTTGCTTCCTTGTCAACTTACACAATTCTTGGACAGTAGTTGCTTGTGGTTGCTCCATCAATTTTGATTGCAGCCAGTTTGGCATTCCTTTTATGAACATTCGTCTAATTTGTTCATTGCGATTATCATTTACTGCATCTATTCTTTCTTGTCTTTGTGCAGTTTCTCTCTGAAATCTCGCCGTGTCTGCTACTAATGGTGCTCAGTTTAATGCAACATCGATTGGGTCGACAGCTGGCAAATCTTGCGTTGGATACGCTCGTTGCGCTTTATTCGTCAAATTCACCAAGAAGTTCTCGGCTGAATCGGTTTTGGAGTCGTACCGGAGCTGTTCTAACTTCAGTACGTGGACTTGCTGGAGCTGCGGATTGGAAAAGTGATCCCGTAGAGCTGTGAGACTGTTCTCCACGTTCGCTCTGATTGCTGCTGGCAGCGTCTGGTAAAACCGTGGTGCCGCTTCTCGTAGATGTAGTTGTAAGAAGTTCACTTGTAGGCCAGGGTCGATTCCCGCTACTCCGATGTATCCTCGGAACAATTGCTCAAACTGCTGAAAGTCATCTGTTTCCGTTCCTTCGTAAGGTTCGACCAAAACTTGCGCGTGTGCCATCTTAATACAGTTGAAAGAATATCAAGTTTATGAAACAGTTGATGATAAAGCACAGCACTTAGTCAATTTAAGGGGAACACGAGAAAATTTTGCTAGACTTTCGCAATTTGGATTATTTATACTTCATGCAGCTTTTGCTATTCTGTTTTTGGTTATTATTGCCATCAGATTTGCTAATATTTCCGTTACTTCACTTTTTTGTGGTCGGGGAACTTATTAGTTACAATTTCAATTTACTGCAATTGAGAGTTTTGAGTTTATCTGTTTTACTAACTGTTTTGGCGTTGGAAACCTTTCATCTACTTCCTTTTCTGCCTTGTCAGAAGCTCACTTGACATACGGTCTGACTGGAGCCAAAAGTAGAGAAGTTGTAGGACACAATCCACATATCTGCTTCTGTAGATTGAGGGAGTTGACAGCCCAGAGATGTTGAAAAATTGTGAGTGTCTTCTTTTCCTTACTTTCTCTGTTAGTTGCTTAATGAATGTTGCTCTGCCGCCAACATCTGAGCATTGCTGTGCTCATCAAGCTGTTTTTCGCTGTTCTGCATCAGCAAAGTTGTTGTCACTTTCTGCTCGAATAAAAATGTTTGGGATTGCCGATGACTTTTTTGAATCCAGAAGTAGAAATTCCCGCGAAAGTCACCATATAATATACCGTATCTGGCGGATGGATAATACTGGTATATTGTCGTTTAGTGTAATGCGAGCTGTTCAATTGTTAATTTTTTTTAGCGCTACTGGCTATCAATTGTATTTAGATTGGATTCATTATTTTAGATATGTCTCGAGCGGTTAAGAACTATCTTGCTTTAAAGGATGCTGGTTACGATTACTAGCTTCTGATATCTCGCAAGCCGATCGGCGCAAGTAAGATCATGATTAGATTATTTTATTCAGTTGATTTGTCTCCAAATAATTTCTAGCTCAATCTATGATTCCAATGATTGGTATTAGTTCATCAAAATTGTTCAATGCGCTTCCTATGTCATCCATGAACTGTGTACATAAGTCGGCTGCTAAGCATGGATCAAGATAGTGACGTATGAATGAACTGAAACCCGTTACTGATTTTCTTAGACCTTGAGCTAGGCATTTGTATGCATAAGTTCGTGAACCGAAATTAAATGCGAGAAGTTGGACTGAAAGGTCATCTGCCATTTGCACACATTGGTATGCTTGCGAACAATCAAGTTTGGTAAACAAGCTCTTTCCTGCGAAGTGGTTTGATGCATCGTTCATGTTTGAGATCGGAAAGTTGCTGTTGTTATAGTCATTCTTTAGTGAATGATTTATCCTTCTGAGGTCAATCAACATCCGCAAATTACCAGATGACTTCCGATGTGCAAACAATGGACTGCTATATTTTGAATGTGACAATGTTGTTATAAGTCCATAATAGTGCATTAGGGCAAGTTCCACTGTCAATTCTTTTCGCAAATGTATCGGCGTAGGTGGGCCTTGTGTGTACAAAGGTCGTGTGTGTGTTCCGGTTTCAGTTTGATTTTGAGATCGGAATTGTAACCAACATCAAATCTATGTTTGGCGAAGATGTCCGAAAATTCAACAAGCAAATCTTCTACTTTTGACCTTTGCTCTTGTGTCAACACCAAATTCCCCCACTTAAAATTCTTGATAAATGTCAATCGATCTTGAAAGTTTATTTTCGGTTAAATTTTTTCGAGACTTTGAAAATGAAGAATTTGGTCGTAAATGTCACGTTGGATTTGTGGAAGTAATTCAGGGTTATGACATGTTTCAGGTGTAGGAAACCAAAAGTTTTCATACTCGAGTTTACGTTGCTGTTGAGACTGCTGATTATCCCAATTTTGCTGAATTAGCTCGTTAATGCCCATTTTAATATCGTCTAGATTATTCATTTTTGCAAAAGCAAGCATTTCTGCATCAATTGGTATGAGATTTTTGGCTTCTCTTAGGGTCAGAATTGAAAATTTTTCCAATTTCAGTTTT